AGCGAGATCTTGTCTCAAAACACAAAAACAATCCTCCCCTCCACCCCGCCAAATATTTGGTTTTCGACATTGAATCCTAGATCCCCAACTAGATCCTGTCTCTCGGTAACTTCTGAGCATGTTGCACATCTCTTAAATCATATTAATTTGGTTTATGTACTTAATTGACCAGATTATAAGTCCCTTAGAACACGGTCAGCTTTGTTCTTTGGATGTTACATGGCATGGATTTTGCAGAAGTGATGGCGTAGAGACTAAAATCCAAGAATTCCTATGCTAACTGGTTTAGTATCATGTTTATTATATCATCCTGAACAGTGTTTGGATAATGTCTTGGCTTGAGTAGTTGTTGGGGAGAAGGGACTGTATTCGAGGCTGGGGAGCATGACCTGCGTGAAGTCACGGGGCTGGAGTTGGACATAGGCAATTTTAGCTGCAACAGATACTGGCCTGACCATAGCAGAGTTTTTGTTGAGGAGTAATGAAAGAAAAGGTGGTGTGGCTTAGGTGTTACAGATTGTGAAGAACTTTTCAATATTAATTTTGTTTTTAAATGGTAGTGTGTGAAAAGAAAATAATACAGTATATGGCCATTCAATATTTGTTAAATGAACGACAGGAGAGTGTGACTTCTCTTCTTCAGTAAATCATAATTAATGTCTTTTGTATCCTTTAAGAGGTTCTATGTTCAGAAAAGCATGGTACTGCCTCAGATGAGCAGATACTAAACATCACGTAGTTGTTGCATGATTCATTTAACCATTTCCTTACTGGTAAAAATTGAGGTTGTTTATGGTCTTTTGCTGTAACAAGCAGTGCTGGAGTGGTACTGATGCCACGTGCTTTTACATTTAATGTCTTTAAATAAAGTTGTTGACAGAGTCCATAGGACAGTCTATTAATGAAAACATTCTTTGCTTCATCCTTTGTCACCCCCAAATTCTATGCTCCAGAAACATCTTTCGTCCTTTTTTTTTTTTTTTAGTTTTCAAGCAGGTACCTCTACATTTCCAAATATGTTTATATTGCTATTTCTTGTGCCATTTTTTTCCCCCATTTTAGACATTGTTGACTTCCTAACTACTCTCAAAAATGAATTTTCTTATTACTGTTAACTTTGACACTGGAAGTTAAGTGGATATAGAATTAGAAGTACAAAATAATTTTCAATAATTATTTTGAAGGCCTCATTTCACAGTTCTGTAGCATTTCATATTATCCTTGAGAAGTCTTATGCTATCCTGATTCCTTTTTAAAAATATATATATGACATTTAATTTTATTTTTTAATCTGGATGCTTTTAGAATCTTGTCTAGATGGCTTTGATGTTTGAAAGTTTCATTTTTGCAAGTATCTAGTTGTGCTGAAGGCTAAATTTCTGGCAGTGGAATAGCGAAGTTAAAGTTGGATGCATTTACATTCTTGACAGGTATCTCCTAGTTGTAATAATTAAAAAAAAAAATTCTAAAGATAACGTGTTCTTGCTATGTTGTCCAGGCTGGAGTGCAGTGGCTCTTCACAGGCACGATCACGACACGCTACAGCCTTGAACTCCTGGGCTCAAGTGATCCTCCTGCCTTGGCCTCTTGAGTAACTGAGATTGCAGGCCTGTGCTACTGCACTTGACTTTTTTTTATTCTGGTATATCTTCTCAGCTAAGCACTAGCCATCCTCACAAAATCTAACTTTGGCACAGATCAGTTCAGTTCACCTTTTGAGCTCTTCCATTGAAATTCTTTTGAATTTGGCACCCCCCTCTCTCTCAGCCTGGCTCACACACTTCCTTCCTTGTTCCCTCCCCAATACACACAAGTGCACATACTTCTCATTCACATTTCCAGTGTCTTTCCTTACCTATTAACAGCAACACAAATATATATTCTAGCTCGCTAATTAGAATAATTAGTACAACTGATGAGTTATCCCCAAATATTAAATCATTGCTAAAACATGATAGCATCTTATTGCTAAAATGACGAGTAAGAACTATAGGTAAAGAGTTCAGTAGGAAGAAAATTTAAGGTTGAGAAACAGAATCAAGGGATAGAGTCAAGCCCAGAGAAAGGCAGAAGGCTATGGAATATGTCCTGGGGGGTATGCCTACATCGAGAGGTAGGAAAAGCAGCTAAGGAAATGCTGAAATAAGCAGATAAATGTGCAGAAAAATATTAAAATTCAGTGGAAAGAAAGGTTTTGGGAAAGAAGATGAGATTAATGCTGTTTCCCTGAGTGGTCAGGGAGAAGGGAGGCAAAAATGCTTTGGAGAACAGTTTCGGCGGAGTGGAGGGGGTTAAAGTGAGGAAGGTGAGGAGATGGAAGTAGCTGGTTTAGAGCACTCGGTTCAAGAACTTTTATCTGGTCAAGAAAGGGAAGAGCTGGAGCAGAAGGTAGAATGGGAGGTATGATCAAAAGCAAGCGTTTTTTCTGCATTGAAGGAGAGCTTACCTGTATTTGTGTAGATGCAAATGGGAGAAGGCAACTCTATGAATATCCAGTACTTTGGGAGACAGAAAAGATATGAGAACTCGACATAGAGCAGCACATTTTACAAAGAGTGATTAAAAGAGATCGAATTTTCCTCTGAGACTCTAGGAAGGGTAAGATTTCTGATGAAGAGATAAAATGGTGGTAAAAAGCTCACACTAAGCTTCAGTAAGGTTAATGAGATAAGGAAGGCTAGAGATTGTTTTGAATAGCCATTTATTCATTTGTTTGTTTACTTACGGAATATCAAATATGTCAGTTCGCTAGAGATACAAAGATGAAGAAGCTACCAAATACATTTTATGCCTATTTTATTTTATTTATTTGAGACAGAGTCTGGCTCTGTCACCGATGCTAAAGTGCAGTGGTGTAATCTCGGCTCATCTCAATCTCTGCCTCCCGGGTTTGAGTAATTCTTGTGCCTCAGCCTCCCAAGTTGCTGGGATTACAGGCGCGCACTACCACACCTGGCTAATTTCTGTATTTTAAAAAATTTATTTATTTATTTTTGAGACAGGGTCTCGCTCTGTCACCAGGCTGGAGTGCAGTGGCACAGTCTTGGCTGACTGCAGCCTTCACCTCCCAGGTTCATGTGATTCTTGTGCCTCAGCCTCACAAGTTGCTGGGATTACAGGTGTGTACTACCACACCCGGCTAATTTTTGTATTTTTAATAGAGACAGGGTTTCACCATGTTGCCCAGGCTAATCTTGAGCTCTTGGCCTCAAGTGATCTTCTCACCGCAGCCTCCCAAAGTGCTGGGATTACAGACATGATCCGCAGTTCCCGGCTGCTACCAAATAAATTTGTAGACAGAAGCTTATACATCTTTATTTCTTTTTATAGTGGTTATTTACAGCCTGAGTGGGCAGGAAAGAAGTGGACTCTGGGACCTACCGAGCATTATAGATTGGCATCCGTGAGTGTCTAAGAGGTCAGCAGAATTAGATAGTGGTGAAAACGACTTGGAAATAGTTAACTGTGGCCTGAGCTGGATAGGGAATCCAAGGTGTTAGGAAACTGAATGGAATTCTTTGAAGGTAGCAAGCAACCTGAAGGTGAAGGTTTGGCCACGGTGATGTAATAAAAGAGATAGAGAAAGGATGTTGTGATAGGAGGAGGTAAAAGAACACCACTTTTGAGCTCTTAAAGACAGAGCTTGCCATGAAATATTCAGTACGCTTGATGGGGAAAAGGAGGTTAGGTTTGGTAGGTTAAATAACAAAAATTAGAGGCGCAGTATGAATGTTAAAAGAGATCATGTTAATTGCCAGAATCACAAATCGTATTTTTATCAGTATGTTGTACATACTGTGACACAATAATCAGACATGGTGAGTTTTTAAAAACTAATAGGTTTTATAATGTCAGTGAGCACCATTTTTAGTATCTTCAGAATAACATTGTGGGTGTGTACTCTGTTTATAGCAGTCTTTCCGAAAAGCTCAATTTCACTTGACTGTTCATATCCATTAAGATGTGCAGTGTGATACCTTAGATCTTTCAAGAAATGTGGAGAATTGTTTTTATTGATACATGATATGTGTACAGAGGTAACTTGATAATAACAGTGTAAAGACTTAAAGCTTTTAGAGTTAATATAATAAACCACGCACAAAAAGTGCTCATCATTTAAAGGGATTTACTTCTCTGGGTACATTACATCCACTGAGGATAATGGCTTGGTGTGTATTTATTAGTATCATTACCTTCTTAGGATTAACAAATGTAGCAGGTATTTTGATGGGCAACATTAGGAATATTTTGTTTATGTGTCTCTTTGCTCACTGCAGGGAACTTCATTCCATCTGCAGACACACTGCCAGCCTGATGATTTCAGTTTGCATTTGCTTAAAGAACAATAAACTTTCTGTGAACTGAAAAGAATGGCTGTATTTTTCACAATGTATCTGTGAAAAATAAATGGCTACTTTACAGTAGTAAGAAACACATTTCTTTTTTTTTTTTTTTCTAATTGGAAACCATGGATTCTTATGGTCAAAGAGACTAGATACTCTGGTTTGTCTGGGGCAGTCCTGGTTTATTCCTAGTGTCACAGCACAGCATCATGTTCAATTATCACTCCTCTTCGCTCTCAGAAGTTTTCTCATTTGGACAATATGTTATATGGTCATTCTACTTGTGGGTTACATTTTGAGGTATATGGTCTGTGAATCATACACCTTAGTAGTTGAAAGAAGAAGCCAGTAGTTGGTTTTGCCTTAAGAGGTTTAGAGATACTTGAACAAATTTGTTTCTTTCTCCAACTTTCTAGAAAATACATTTTAAAATGTATTATAACTTGTACTGAGTTTGGTAGTTGCTATTTAAAATCAGCAGATATGTTATGGTATAATATTTAACCAGGGAGGAACAGCCTTTCAGATGAATACATCCTTAATACCTTCTGCTTTGAGAAAGTGAGAAATACAGTAGTGTTGGGCCTTGGATGAAATGATGGGTGGGTAATGTTCAACAATGACTTAAACCTTGATTGTTTTAATTTCTTCAAACAGCACTAACATTCTGAGAGAGCCTGTGTGCTTAGGAGGGTGTGAGCACATCTTCTGTAGGTAAGTAATTATAGCTTGATGTATATAGGACAACTATATTTTTTACTAGATAACAATCAGGTAGTCTTGTTGATAATTATAGTACTTCATGTCTGTGTAACTTTCAAAGTCTGCAAAGTAACATACTGTACATTATCTTGGTATTTATAACTGTGTTTTAATTTACAAAGAAGAAAGAAAAACAGCTCCAAGAGGATGACTTGTCCAAAGTTACAAAGCTTAGTAGACAGCTTTGCCAAGTTTGAGGAAAAAAATTAATCTTTTGTATAATATATGTTTTTAAATTTTCCAGCTAAGTTTTGAGTCTACTCAAAGTTATGAAAGTATAGTTCTTATAGTTATTGTATTAGTTCCCTAAGGCTGCCATAGCAAAGAACCAAAAACTGGGTGGCTTAGAACAACAGAAATGTATTTTCTCTACAGTTCTGTAGGATAGGTGTCTAAAATTAAGATGATAGCAACGTTGGTTCCTTCTATGGGCTTCAAGGGAGAATCTGCTCCATGTCTTTCCCCTAGCAATCTTTGCTGTTCCTTGACTTTAAGATGCATCACTCTGGTCTTTGCTTTTGTGTATACCTGGCATTCTTCCTTGAGTGCATGCTTCTCTGTGCCACATTTCCCCTTTTTATAAGAATACCAGTTATATTTGATTAGGGCTCACCCTAATGATCTCATCTTAATTTGATCACCTAGAGTCCCTGTTTCCGAATTAGGTCATATTCACAGTTACTGAGGGGTGAAGACTCAAGCATCTTTTTGGGGGACACAATTCAATGCATAACAGTTATTGTGAAATTATATCCATGTGATGGCCGTGGCTTGTAGGTCAGAAGACTAAACTTTTATCTCCTATTTCTTGTTCAGGAGAAATCAGTTGAGAGATTAAGTGTCTTAGTTTAATTGTTTAATTGCCTATGAGACAGGGTAAATATAGCCTCCTTTGAATTAATCTTTTAATTATTTCCAGTTATGATTATGTTACTATCTGGCATGAACAAACTGCATTCGGAAATTTGAGCATATGTGAAAATAGCCTTGTGTGTTACTTCATGGGCTAAGGTCGTCTGGGAGGCAGCTATGTTTTGGGTCCCAATTTTTGTTTCTGAAAAAATAGATCTGTTATATGAGAGATATCCAGCTGGAGGATGGGATAGGAGATGATACCTGTTGCCTACCAGGTAACCTCTGTTTGGATGATGAAAGAAAAGGCATTTTAAAGTTGGTGTGCTCAGAGCTGATTTCTTGATCATCCTCCTCTTCAGTCTTTTCCTGCCTAGGTAATCTTCATCACAATAGAGGGTACCACTTACGGCTAAGTTGCTCATCCCACATCACTAAGTTCTGTCCATTCTGCCTCAAAATGTGTCTTGAATCTTGAATTTTTCTACCTGTTTTCTGAATTTGCTACAGTTTATTGTTTATTCCAAGCCATCATTATATTACCTCTACTCATACTAATGTGATAGGTTCATAACTGGTCTTCCCTTTTTGGTGTCATCACCCCTTCCTCATTTTGTATATTCTCGACAGTGATCTTTGAAAAATCTCAATAATGTTCATATCATTACCCTGCTTAACTCTTTAGTGGCTTCCTAGTGCAATTAGAATAAAATCCAAATTCTGCCCTGTGGTCTGCAAAACGCTGTATGGGACCTAGACCCTGTCTGCCTCTCAGACCTCATTTACCTCTGCCTCTCACTGTTCCAGAACTTCTCCTTTTAGTTCACTAAATATACCAAACTTACTCCCGCCCAGGACTTTGTCACTTGCTATTTCTTCCACATGGAATGTACGTATGCCAGATTTCCATGAGGCTTACTTTTTATCAGTTATATTTCAGCTGAAATGTCACTGCCTCCAAAACGCCTCCCATGGATTTGCTTACGAAATGATACCCACTCCGTCTCTCCACTCTGTAGCAAGCAGATGTATTTTGTTTCAGCAGACGGACGACAGGTTTGCTTACTGTTTACAATAGGTCTGCTTACTGTGTACGATAGGTCAGTCACAAAGCTGCTAGAGTGTGATGAACTCCATGACATTTTTATGCAAAGCTGGTTTGTGTGTGTGGTCGGGTAGGGGATCCATACTTTTTAATCAAATTCTAAAGGGGATTCTAAAGGGCGCTGTGACTTAAAACAGCCAATAAAAGGTTGAGACATGAGAACATATTTTTTTTTTTTTTTTTTTTGAGATGGAGTTTCACTCTTGTTACCCAGGCTGGAGTGCAATGGCGCGATCTCGGCTCACCGCAACCTCCGCCTCCTGGGTTCAGGCAATTCTCCTGCCTCAGCCTCCTGAGTAGCTGGGACTACAGGCACGCGCCACCATGCCCAGCTAATTTTTTGTAGTTTTAGTAGAGACGGGGTTTCACCATGTTGACCAGGATGGTCTTGATCTCTTGACCTTGTGATCCACCCACCTCGGCCTCCCAAAGTGCTGGGATTACAGGCTTGAGCCACCGCGCCCGGCCTATGAGAACATCTTAAAAGAGAAAATGATTATGTGTATATGACAGCATAGGAAAGAATTCATTCAGTGAAGTTTTGATGTATTTTGATTATATAATGCCAAAAATTATGGTAGTTGTTTTTATTCTTTGCAGATTTTGAGTTAAAATAAAACTGCTCGGCAATGAGGTTTTCAAATGATTTTGACACAGCTCAGTCCAACTGATACAAGTAGTTCGTCTACTCTCTAAGATACAGTTCGTTTAAGACATCAGGGTTGCTCAGATATTTTGGTCTCAGATCACTTCACACTCTTCAAAACTGAGAACCAAGAGCTTTTGTGTGTACATACGTGTGTGTGTATTTATCCTACAAAACTGAGACTTAAGAAAAAAGAATTCATTTAAAAATAATAAGCCCATTACATATAAACATAAATAACACTTTTTTAAGGAAAAAAATAACAATTTTACAAATCAAAGAAAAAAACAGAGTGGCACTGTTTTGCATTTTTGCAAATCTCTGTCTTGCTGAATAGAAAACAGCTACATTTTCAGCTTATGTATTCAGTCTACTGTGATAGGTTCTTTTGATTGAAGAAAATCTGGCCTTATACATATTTGTAGTTGGAGGAAGTATTTCAATAGCTTTTACTTTTTTTATTTTCTTTCATTTTTATAAGATTCAATTCAGGCATTTTTTTTGTTTTTCATTTTTTTTCTTTTCTTTTTCCAATAGCTTTTGAAGATAACTGTGGCTATTCCTTAATATTACACCAAAACTTGACAAGTGCTTTTTTTTTGAAGACAAGAGTCTCTGTCACCCAGGCTAGAGTGCAGTGGTGTGATCGTGGCTCACTGTAGCCTCAACTTCCTAGGCTCAGGTGATCATCCCATTTCACTTACTAAGTAGCTGGGACTACAGGTGTGCCCCACCACACCTGGCTAATTTTTGTAGTGTTTTGTTTTTTGTTTTTTGTTTTTTAATAGAGACAGGGTTTTGCCATGTTGCCCAGGTCTTAAACCCCTGAGCTCAAGTGATCCTCCTGTCTTGGCCTCCCAAAGTGCTGAAATTACGGACATGAATCACCATGCCTGGCCAACAAGTGCTGTTTTCTTTGGGTTCATCACAATGTGGAGTCTCCAATTATATCAATAAATTTTTATACTCTGTTATGTGAAATTCCATTGGTTTATCTAGTACTTGGAATTTATCTTTTTTTTT